TAAATTCATGATTTGCTATGACTTTAGATTGCCATTATCAAGAAGAAAGTCAACATTAAAAAGGTGGAGCATGGGCGGAAGTGGTGCATGACTTTAATCTCAGTACTCGGGAGGCAGAGGCAGAGGCAGGCAAAGTTCTCTGAGTTTGAGGCCAGCCTGCCCTTCAGAGTTCCAGGATAGCCAAGGCTACAGAGAAACCCTGTCTCAAAAAGCTAAAAAAAGAAAAAGAAATTAAAAGGAGCTGGAGAGATGCCTCAGTGGTTAAGAGCACTGGCTGCCCTTCCAGAGGACCTGGGTTCAATTCCCAGCACCCATATGGCAGCTCACAATGATTTATAATTCCAGTTCCAGGAGATCTGACACCATCACATAGACATGTATGTGGGCAAACACCAATGCACATAAAATAAACTTATTTTGAAAAAGTTTGACAAAAGGTGTTGTTTATGTTAACGGTGTGAGAGGTGTAGACTCAAAAGCAAAGATGGCAGAGGGAAATATCACAGGTGATGGAAAACGGCAATCTGTCCATTTGGTATTCTGCACAGCCAATCTTCTACATTTCACTTAACTCTGACTCCTAATTACTGGAGTAAAGCCGTCCTTCACAGTAGAGCCTGGTCCTTGGTTCCTGGATTCATTCTGGCCAATTTCATAGTAAAATCATTTTTTTTTCTAGTGTGAAGCTCAATGGGACCACTGTATCTCTTGCCATGGAGGTTTTTAGAAACACTCTCCATCTCAATCTCTGAACCCACCTTCTTCTGTCCTGAAGAACGTACTTGAACACAGGACCTAAAGCCTTGGGAGAGGAACTGGGAACACTTTTCCTTTTGTCATACTGGCAGGTTTCAGGAACCCTCTGAAATTGGTTTAGAAGGAGACAGGGATGAGGCTTATCTGGAGACAGAAAACTCAAGGTGCAACTGAATTCTGGAACAGCTGAGGCCAACCTCTCGGCTGAGGGAAATACACAGCTGTGAGTAATAAGTCATGTTTGATAAAAACAGCATCAGCTCTAGAAAACATCTGGTTTGGGTATCTACAGTGGCACCCACCTTTACTCCCAGCACTTGGAGGCGGAGACTCTGTCTCAACACTCCTCCAAAAAAACCCAACCAACCAAAACCTCAAAAAACCAACAATAATGGAAATCTGTACAAATTCTTTTCAGTTACTTTATCTGGTGAACAATGCTGGCTTTTTATGTACCTCAGCACTGACCTTTTCATTTTTTCTTCCTTTCTTATCCAAGGTGGTAGAAATTTAGGGGCACTGAAGATTTTGAAAGCAAAGCAATGCCAAGTGTCTGTCACAGGTTATCAAAAGTCCTTCTAACCACAGTCAAGATAACAATGTGATAAAAGTGCAGAACGAATGCTTTCATTTCTGAGAGATCTAGCAAACACAGTACATGTCAATGCTAGGAGGGACTGAAGATCTTCAGCTTAGTACAAAATTGGATTACAACAGGAAAAGCTGTTCAAGATTACTCTAATTAGAGAAAAGTAGTCCTGCCATAATTTGCGTACTACCATTACATTTGTATGGCCTACATATTCAGGATATTCTAAGAATCACTTGAGAAACGGCTTGTGTTCAGTCATGATTTGAAACGGTTTAGAAGCTGACTTTCCAGAGGTAGAAAGTCCATTAAGTTAGTCAACAGGGAAGACTAGTCTTTATGTTAATTCAGTGATCTTTAAGCTAGATACCAGTCTTTTCTACTTGCTAATTTATCCATCTTAAGAATCACTAGTTTTTGGGGTTTTGGTTTTTTTGTTTGTTTTTTTGGACAGGGTTTCACTATGTAATGGCTGTCCTGAAATTTGCAATATGGACCAAACTGGCCTTGCACTCAGATATCTGCCTGTCTCTGCTCCTGAGTGCTAGGATTAAAGGTATGTACCATCATGTCTGGTAGCAAACATGCTTTGCCCACATACTTTGTATTAACATCTCTTCCTGTCGCTGTGACAAAACTCCTGATAAAAACAGCTCAAAGGAGGTTTACCTGGTCTCAGCTTGGGAAGGCATGGTGGCTGGAATGGGCTGGTCTGTGGCAGTGAGAATTGCGGTGCACTTTATTCCCATCTTAGATTAGGAAGCAGAGGCTGGGGAAAGAAGCAGGGCTTGACTATAACTCTTAAGGCCTGTTCTCAGTGGCCTACAGCAAGCAACTATGCTCATGATCCTAAGGTTTCACAACCTCCCAAAGCTACCATCAGATGGGGGCAAAGGGTTCACCGGCCTCTGATGGACATTTTGTATCCAAACAATACTTTAATAAACAGTGACTAAGTACAAACATTAGCAGACACCTTACTTTGAGAGTGGCTGAAAAAAAAAATACACCATTTTTCTAGCTCTACCTTAGATACTTATTCAGGACTAGAGAAATAAAGGACTCACTCCACATATTTAACAAGCTTCCTATGTGGTCATGGAGATGATCTTAAAGCTTGACTGTGTCAAGTGATGTCCAGATCACAAAATCCTCAACAAAACCTCATTGCATTATTTCTTGCCTTCCTATATAAACTTAAATTTGAAAAGCATAGTGTTTTAAAATAAGTAAGTCATGCAAATCCTGGCATCTGTAGGCAAACATGCTCATTGTGCAAACCTGATGGCCCAAGTTCAATTTGCAGAACCCATGTGGCACTGCATTGTCAGAATTCCCAGCACTCCTGCTACAGGACAAGGAGTGCTGACAGAACTGCAAGGGACGCTGGGGCCAGCAAGCCAAGAGTGCAGTGAGGCAGGAGCAGTAAGACAGACCCTGTTTAAATAAAACATGGTGGAAGAACTAACTCCTGAAAAGCTGTCCTCTGACTGTGGCAGGCCCATTCTTGCACTTATATACACACACACAGGATTTTTATCAAAGCCATACAAATCCCAACTTTAGGTGTGATGCACTTTGTTTTTTCTTACTGAGACAGTCTCACTCTACGGTTGGTTCAAACTCAAAGGCTGCTGTCTCAGCCTCCCAAGTGCTAGAATTACAGGCATGAGCCCCCTGTACCCAGTTCTGATTTCTCTATTTCTCCCCTTCTCTATTCCTATAATAGGCACCTTCAAATCGGTACTAAGGGAAAGTTTCAGCATAGTCTCACTCTATTCCCAATTCATATTTCCCTGAATCAGATGTTTTATATGCTCTTGACAGGAAGTAGGTATTAAATGGAAAAGAAACCAACGGGTGTATGTTTGAGCTTTAATAACACAACTTTTGGAATTATCCATGTTTCTTTTCTCCCTCTTTGTAATTTAACTTTTATTTTGTGTCCATGTTCATCTTTGAACGCCAGGTGTGCGTGCCACGAGTACATGTGTGGAGTCAAAGGACAACCTTCCACCTTGCTTAAGACTTGGCCTCTTTTGTTGCTCACTACTGTGCCTTGTTAGCTGGGCTGCAAGCTTCTGAGATTCTCCTGACTTCCTCCCATCTTGCTGCAGAAACACTTCAGTATTCTTTAGAGATGCTTGCTACCATGCCTGATCTTTCACAGGTCTAGAGATTCAAATCAAGTCCTCGTGCTTAGACAAAAAGCACCATATACTGAGTTATCCTCCCTGCTCTAAGTATGTTTTTAAATTTTATAGTATTTTACCTCATCAAAAATTATGTACTGAGGCCTGAGCTGTTATAGGACTTGTGAATATGTGAATAGGTCAATTTAGAAAACACTTTCAGTACCAAAGTGGCCCTTTTCAACTCTAACAGATCACATTTAAACCAGAACACTCAATAGCATCTCTTAAAAAAAGTGGACCTGAGGTGGCTCAGCAGATGGATGCATTTACAACCAGGCCTGATGACCTGAGTTCAATTCCTCCAATGCATATGATGGAAGGGAAGAACTCCCATGGGTTGTCCTTTCCTCTTCACGTGCAGTTTATAACATACACATACAACTAAAAATTTAAGTAATTTTTAAAAAAACGTTTAATAGCTGTCACCTAAAACTAAGAATCCTAAAGTCTTAAGAGAAAGGTTATGCTTGTATACCTTCATGTACTGATACCCAAATGCATTTGATCAGTTAATTTCCCTGCCCTCCCCCAAAACATTCTTGTTTTGTGAAGAGTCTCATGCAGTGGCTCAGACTGGCTAGGAACTGTCTGCAGCCCAGGAAGGACTCAAATTTGCAGCTCAGCCTGCAAAGTGCTGGTGTTACAGGTGTGAATGACCACATTCATTTGTTTCCCAATAACTGATGTTCCCATTTGATCTGTAAATAATCGAATTCAACTACTCTTCAGTTGATAATCATCAGGTTTTTTAAAAAGAATTATTTATTATGTGTATGTGGGGGAGGACTGCAAGTACATGCATGTGAAACCATAAGTGCTGGCTCTCCACTGAGCTGGAGTTACAGGCAGTTTTGAGCAACCTCATTTGGGTGTGAGGAACTGAGCTCAGGTGTTCTTTCCTGGTGCTAGGAATTACATTCACATCTTCTAGCATACTAAGCAAGCAGGCTACTGTTGAGCCACACCTTAGCCCAGCAAATTCAAGTTTTTAAATGAAGGTATCAAGTGGCTTGTTGAGTTAACAATGTGACATTTACTTGTAATTATTAACCAATTAAATTTTCACATATACTAAACCACAGCTGTATATGTGGCAAAATGATCTTGTAAGTTAATGATGTCACACTTAAGTGTTTTCAGGGATAAAGAAAGTTAACTATCACTCTACCACTGTCAAGCAAAACAAGCAATAGCTATTCAAAAGCATGGCATTAGCTGGGTGGGGCAGTACATACCTAATATCTTAGCAGATGAGAGAAAGGCAGACCCCTGAGTTCAAGGCCAGCCTATTGTTAAATAGCAACTAAATTCCAGGTCACCCAGGGCTACACAGGGCCACACCATCTCCAAACAAAAAAACAAAAAAAAAAAAAAAAAAAATTAGAGATTTTTTTAGAGATTAAAAATAAAGATGATCACTAAATAGAATCAGTGAAAAATAAGTATCAGTTCTGTACCAATGAAAGACAAAATATACTTTATTTTGACAGTAATGCACATGGTGCTGTAGGTGAGGCATGCAACTAGAAATCTGCATATCATCACAGGCCAGTGTGGAATCAGTGGAAACGAATACTATTCTTCAGCCTCGAAGGTGTCATTCAAGTTGAAGACAGAGTAGCATTCATTCACTGGAAGTGCAGTAATGCAGTATTATACTATTCTTACTCAGACAACCATGCCACTAACCAAGAGTGCAAAGCCAAATAGGAGAAGCTTGATACTCAGAAATCACTTTTAGTATCAATGACAGAAAGATTTAACTTATTCAACTCAGGCAAATTTCCTTCATAGACAAGCTAGAAACAGCATACAAACATCCATCTGATCATCTGTGTAACTAGCCAATTTCCCTCGCCTATATTTCACCAAAACCAAGTGCCTAGAAATAGTTTGAATAAAAGCATATTCTAATACTTTGTAATGTTATAAATTTAGAGCTGAGTGAAATGTCACCTCTTTCCAATAGAAGGTTATCAGGTACAGTTCAAATGCAACAGCTGAACTTGTAAGGGAAGATGTGAAATAATGATGCTAAGGAAAGATCCAGTCCTTTGATGAAACTTTGACAAGCGCTACAAACTTGTCAAAATCAATTCACAAATGTTGGGGAAAGCTGAGATACTTTGTGAAGCAGTTTTAGATAAGTTGCTTCATTTTCCCCTTCTTTAGAACAGATGCAGATTAATAGTGTATACAAGGATGCACACTGATATTTTGCTCAATTGTTTTCTAAATGCAATACTGTAGATTTAAACAGTATGCTTTCATTCAAACAACTACTTTATACATAGCAATGTAGCTTAACATTGAGAAGGATCACTTTAACTATTAAGAAAATCACTTATCAAACCTCTGCTTTTATAAGGTATTTTTAAAAGTAACACAGGACCAAAACATCCAACTATCACTTTATTTATATTACTATGCTTAAGTTACATGGAAAAGACAACCAAGCAGTTCTGCCCCATTTCAGAAAGTTTCCAATCAACACCAAGTAAGTGGTGACAAGTAACTAGTGGTGGTGACATCTGTTGGGTCAAGACTGACAAGGAAGAATGGGTTCTGGTGCTACAGTTCCTCTCCAACAAGAATATGGCACATGGCCAGCACAAGCCACGCTAACACTGAGCCTCCAGCGCTGGGCACAGATTCGGATCTCTTCTTGAAGCTAGCAAATTAAGTGAAATAACTGGGTTAAAAAGAAAATTTAAAACGAAGCCCAAGTAAGTTTAAAACCATGCTCTTGACGTATTTTCCACTCAAAATGTATACAAAACACTCCTTTTCACTCTAAGGACCCCAATTTTTTCCCTCACATAGCCAACCATGTAGCTGCAAACTCTTCTGCCTCAAGATGTAAACATAGGGAAAAAATTAATGGCATCTGCATAATAGTCTCTCTACAAACTGCTATTGGATGAAAAATACAAAATTAAAAAAAGAAAGAAAGAAAGAAAGAAAGGTTCCATCTTATATTCTCACAACCTCTTGTTCCGCAGTTCATGAATCCGACTCTGATGCTAAGGTGACAGTGTATGTAAGTAGATTTTTGTTTTCAGTGAAGGAGACCTGGGAAAAGATGGATTTATCTTTTTTCTTCAAGAGTTATCAGATGGTACATGCTCCTCAAAGCCTTCACTCTCTCGAACTAGTGCACGTTCCAGGATCACACGGCCTTCCTTATAACGCTGGCTGTCTTCAGTGGCAAACTCATAGATCCATCCCAGTTTGCTATTGCAGTTTTTGCAGCTCACATCTCGAACCATGTGGCGGCCAGTGAGCATAACCCGATCTTGAACTTCACTGTACTGCAAGTTAACTACCTAAAAACAAAATCACACACAACAAAACAACAAACAAACAAAAAACCATTATAAAGTCATGTAAGTTAGCTGACAATAAGTAAATAAATGAGCAATTGAGTATTACATAGCTGTGTAAGACCATGATCCTAGTACGGAGAGGCCAAGGCAGGAGGATAATGAATTTGAGGTAAGACTAGCCTCACTACACAGTGAGACCCTGCCCCAAAACAACAAACCACTAACAAGTTTAGCGGACAGAAATTGTTACTTTGGTTATACTCATGACAGCCATTCACAACTGAGAGGCTGCGATAACTAGGTCTTTAATCCTAGAATTTGGGAGATAAAGGCAGGAAGAAAGGGGTTCAAGGCCAGCCTCACCCACATCATTCAGTTTCAGGACAAATACACACACACACACACACACACACACACACACACACACACACACACACA